TTAAAATAACAAGTTATGGAAGAATAATAATAGATAAGGCAACCCTTGTTAATACAAAAAAAAAACCTTGCAGATTTCAACTAGAGATAAATAAAACACAGAAGTTTGGAGATCAAATTAACACTTTCGTATCTTCTTGTTACCCGTCATACTGAATGGTCTTCTGAATATTGGGCTTAGGATATAAGAGGAAATTGTGAATTGAGTTCGGTGCACTCGAAAGCACGTCCGCACAGCTCATGCGGAGCCAGGAAGAACATCGATAACCCTCCTTCCCCCTTCCCCACGCCTTAGTGCCTCCCTTAGAGACTCAGGAGACAACCACCTTAGGGCGGATCCAGGAATTTTGTTAGGAGGGAGATCTCAGCTTAATCTTTGATTCAGAAAACAAATTTTTTTTCACTTTAGGGTCCCATAGACTAAATAGGAAAAGGAAACTCTTTTACACGTCATTTTGATACTTCGCGTTCAGTAATAACATGCTATCCTGTCGTTGCAATAATTTTGTTGTCGGACAGTTAGTTAAAATACCCTAACATATCTGATGGAGGGGGGATCGGAAACCCCGCACCCTCCTCCTGGGTATGTCAGGGGAGCTAAGGAGGGAATATTGGTAGTCACAGCAGCTAGATATTTAAATAGAAGAAACCGAGGAGGACAAAGTCAGCTTAGCCTTACCTAGCTTTCGCTTGGTACTACGATGGTGATAGGATTCTGTGCTATGTTCGTCATCCATTCCGTGGTTGTTGATGTACCCGGCCTTGACGCGCTCCGAAGGTGAAACGGGCGACGTTCCACCCATTGTCGTTGCATCTATTCTGTTCCGACGAATGTTTCGCGGTTTACGACTAGGAATGTTCCCATCATCTCCTTGCACTCCAAACTTTGTTGGTGTTTTAAGGGAGGAATCGGATTTTTCTGTCGGGCGAGATGGAGGTCGACGAGTGGAAGGAATATCCGTACGGAGCGTAGGGCCGATGATTTCTCCCGCGGGGGGAGTAACTGACCTCTCGACGCTCCGTGAGGACGATAGTGAGCTATAAATAACAATACTGACCAAAACTGTTCCTTGGTCTACTGGGCTAGTGGACTTCGTCGAGAAGAATGCAGTTGAAGGTGTTGGATCGGCAGAAGGAATCGCGGATACAAAGATGCTAGTGTTGACATGTTTCCCGATAAACGCAAGTTTATGCTGAGTCTTGGGGTTCTTTTTGCCATCTTCCCAGGAATTAATCTCCCCTTTTACAACTATAATAGGGTCGTTAGGCTTTTCTTTTTCCTTGATATCTGTGTGAACAAAGTGACCTGCTAAATAGGAAAAGGAAAAAGCGACACAATCGAAGGGTATCATATCTCATGCCTCCATTTGCTTCACTCAAACTCCACAATGTCAAACATTCAAATACTTAAGAAGTATCCTAACGCTTTGCCACAAAAAAATTGATACTTTAGCTCTCCAACTTTTCACGTGTGTCTGAAAAATCGTGCAACAAAGATTTTAGTGGATTCTTTTATCACCACATAGCTGTTTCTTGATATAGTCGATCCTCCTCTGGTGGACACGTCCCGTAGGAAGACACAACCAAACAGCCCTACTAGATAAGGATCAGTTTGAAGTTTCAACATCCCCCTGAGCAACCCACAGGTATTTGACTATCATCCGTACCAGTGAGAGTGGGGAATTTGAACATTGCCTGGCTGGGGTAGGGAATTGAACCGGAAGTGTCAAGTCTTTCCAACATAATACGTCTATGGAGGTGTTAGAAGTAGAGTTCACTTTCGCGAGCGAACAAGGTCTAGGTTTATACAGCTTTGTGGTAGAGCATTTGTACACAATTTGGCCCTGAGGGGGGAGGGGGAGTGGTTGAGGCGTCGAACTGATTGACTCTTTTGTCACATCGCACAAACGACCGACACCTTTCCGGGAGAAGCGAACAGTTTTCCCAAATTTTTGGTTACCATTAATGCAACGCTCAGTTGCAAAAAAAAAAAAACCAAAAAACCAAAAAACCAAAAAGTCGTTTTGAATTTAAAAAGGCTTCAAACTGTTACCTTTAAATTCGCACCCAATTCTGACATCATTGCTGAGCCAGCTGTCGGAAACTGGGCACTTCACACAAGCTGTGTCTCTTGTCTTTTCACAAGGCCTGAACACGCCGAAGCCTAGAGGACATTTGCTGCATTTCAAACAAACGGTATTCGACGTTGAATTACAAGAATGGGACTCGAATTCATCGCAACCACATCTGGCGCAGCGCTTGCATGTTCTTAGGCGAGTAGCTAGGCTTATAAGTGTATGTTTCTTCTGGGCACTTTACACACCGTGACTCTTCATTTTCTGAGCAGAGTGTGAAAGATCCTGCTGGGCATTTCTTGCAGGATGGAATGGACAACTGAGAATAACTACCGCTAAGCGACTGTAAGAGGATAAATGTGGAACAACAACAACTAAATCAGTTTGTCAGATTACACTGTTTTTTTCCTTAAAAAAAAAAAAACCGAAAACAAAAAGCCCTCATGTAGGGGCGGAGGGGAGAGAGAGACTTAAATGTTTACGCCTGCTTTGTTCGCTCCTAAGATGAAGAAGGAAAACATTAGTTTTGAAACAGTTCGAGACAACTCTGGTTTAAGGATTAACGAATCGAAGTGGGGAAACTACAATTCATCGACTCAACGTTTCGACACTCCTGTCTGATGCCTTCATCATTTTTTAATTCACTTGGTAGCTTGGATTGTTTTTTCTATTAGAAAGTGATTTAAAATGGATAACAATATTCAACTTCGAACAATAGCATTCAGGAAGTACGAGAGATAAAATTAATGCAATGTTGTCGTTAGCTAAAGTAATTGCAAATAACATATTGTACCATAGAGGTCAAGTATCAAGCATCTATCTAGTGAAAACAGCATTTCATGGGGTCGGAAACAATAATGCGATATTTGCCCTTCGGGTTGCCTCTGGTATCAAAGTTTTCGCTTTTGTTTTCTAGCTTTGATCGTTCGTTTGTTTACTAACTGTTTCTTTTTATCAAGCGAACACAACAATATTCATGCTTTTGACTACATAGAATACACGTTTACTTGAAGATGGTGAAGATCTTTGTGGTAATCGTCACTAACTCGTAATACTTCTTAGAAATACTGTAAGCTGTTGTTGAACAATGAATGACCCTTTGTTTCCACTTTCGGTTTCTATTTTAAAAATGCCTTAATCCTCTCTCGAGTAAAAAACATTTTATTGTGGACAAATGTGGACAAATGCAAAAATCCTAAACGCTTTTGAAAATGTCCCAACTAGGATAGCAACTTTTTCAGCATTAGCCACAGCAACGGCAGTCAGTTAGATTTAATTTTATGTAAGCGATTTGCCAGCGAAATTGAGTATGTTCGTATCGCGTGCCAAGGTGGCGCACCGCGGTAGTTTTGATAATCGCGTGTCTCCTCTGAAAAAAAAAAAACATTTCTTGTC